TCTCCTTGCTTTTCACTTTTTCTTTGGAACCACCACACAAATCTCAAACAGAATTTCTTCTTCCCTCTCATTCCCACTCATTTTCAAACCTTCCACTGTAAACCCAACAAAAAATCTATGAAAATCAATAAAATAAGCTTCAACGCCACTGAAATACCGGCACTCTACTGAGGAAACATCCTCTGTGCCATGCCACCCTCCTGGAATACAACTGGGCAATTTCTTTTCAGATGTCCTTCTTGGCCACAGCGATAGCAAACACCAACTCTCTTGAATTTTAAACACTCCCAAACACCAACTCTCTTGAATTTTAAACACTCTCCAGGATGAGATCTTTCACATAATTGGCATGAAGAAAATCTGGCACTAGTAGAACTCTCTCCCTGTCTCGAATTAAATGATCGTTGGGAAAACTCTTGAGTATAATTACGACTAGCCAATGACTGCTGTACAGTACTGGGACTGAATCTAGGACCCTGACTTCCTCAAAATCGAGATTTGAATTGACCTGAAATGAACACACCAGGTCGAAATTCTCTACTGTCCCTCCGTAGTGGTCTATAGCTAGAAGCACTTGCCATTGTATGACTACCGCTTGCTATGAACATTGTTTGTTCTCTACCACTTAGCCTATCAAAAATGCTCTTTTCTACTCTCAAAGCTGATTCCACTAATTTACCAAATTCATTCCAACCTACAACTGTTACTACTGACCTGATTTCTTCCCTTAACCCATTTTCAAATCTTCTGCATTTATTAATTTCGTTACTTACTAGAATTTGGGCATACTTTGAAAGTTCAATAAATTTCACCTGATATTCAGTAATAGTCATCTAGCCTTGTACTAGTTTCAGAAATTCCTTCTGCTTTACATCTTTATAGGACCCAGGATAATAAGCATCGTAAAAGATACAACGAAAATCTATCCAAGTAATGATGGAAGGGTCTAGATATGTGCTCCGTACCGACTGCCACCCATCATATGCACCCTCCTCTAATAAGAAGGTGGCAGGATACAACTTCCGATCGTCTGAGCAACCTATAACGTCAAATATCATCTCTATCTTGGTCATCCATGCTTGTCCAACTGTAGGATTGGCTGTGTTAGTGAACACTTTGTCCCCTAACTTTGTAGCCCTCTCAATACTGAAATCTCTATCAGTATTACGCATAGCAGATGCAACGGCAATAGCAATTCTTTCAACAGCAATAGGATCAGCTCCAATCACATTTCCCTGTCCTCATTGTTTAGGAGGCTGGTGAATTGATTCATCTACTCTCTCGGGCTCCCTCAGTTTATCTCTATCAAGAGCAATGTGAGATTGGGGCAACATATCTTAGAGCCTTCGAGTTTTGCCATCACGAGGCATGACTCACCTACAGTTATGCATGATATGCTAAACATCAGAATGTATGCATGTACAATGCAAACCCATGAACTCTAATGCATGCTCTGATACCAAACTGACACACCCCGCCTCGTATAACAGTACTAGATCCGGACGTGGCATGCGCCGATGATAGATACAACTAAAAGTTGGACCCACCATCAAAGCTACTACAAATACAATATATCACTTTTTGTACATCATTTTTCTAACAAAATTTCGACATTATCTCTCCTGTAAACAGGACTAACCAACCTATGATCAATTTCACACAAATCCCAAACTATAGCACAGCACAATAAAAATAAGCCAAAATCTTAACCTTTACCAAGAAATAAAATGAAATATACATATGGATACAAAATATATAGTAAGCCTCATAACTATCTACAAGTGATGTAAAATCACATCTAGACATGAACATGCGTCCCAAAACACTGACTACGTGTCCTTTGAAGTGAGTCATACTAACAAACTATGTCGTGTGGCTCTGACTCCAAAATCAAGGCTCGACTCCAAAAGATGCTCAAATTCTCAACTGCTGCCTGATAAGAAAAAATGTGGAAAAATATATGAGTTGATAGCTCAATGAGTGAAGACATTCAAAATAAATATAATTTTTCATTTATATATTTTTATTGAAAATCAAATTCATATCATTTGTTAATTCACAAGCTACCATCATATAATTATAGCCAAAAAGTGAAATATTCACATGAGATCATAAAATATCATCTTAAAATCATGATATAACATTAGATGATAACCATGCTATAGTCTCGTCACATCAAACGTACTGAAAAATCCACCAAAAATATACCCTCTGACTGAAATATATAATCCGCCCCTCAGGCTAGGAACTTTCGCCACGGGCCTTTGGCCCCTTCCGTGAATGAAAGCCGATCTCAAAGACCTCTCGTAATCAATTCTAGAATACGGCCAAGGCCCCTCTGTGGACTATATGTACACGATCAACACCAATGTCAGGTCAAGACCCTCCGTGTAGGATAGAATACTGTCAATTCCCCTCTGTGAACTAGAGGAAGTATATAATCATAGGTACTTTTCTGACCGATCTCAATATTGCATGTCTCACATACCAAACAAATCTCAATATTACATGTCTTACATACCAAGTCACAAATATGCTATAAATAATCTTTGATATTCCACATGTATCATAATAAAAGATATTTCCATAATAACTATGTAATTCGAACACATAATTGCGTATAATTGCACATACTTTAACAATATACTTAATTTATAAATGTTTTAAAAATATTTATTTTTTTCCACTCACAGAACTATGTACGCCAAAATCAACTCGATTGGTACGCTGTCCCGATATCCGTATCGCCACCTGAAATATAATATAATTTTTAAATCAACAATTAACTAATTTAAGTAATTTCAATAACTAAATAGGCGATACCTAAACTTAATTATTTCACGTTTAGGCGATTTCTAAAGTCTCTTTAATTACTAAAACTAATTTTTATTTCATTTTACTCAATTTCATAGTTTATTATACTTAACCCCTCCAATAAAATTGAATTTAATCTAACAATCTAACAACTATAAAATCAAACATAACATTTCAATAAGTAACTTTTGCTTACCTTTCAAAATTGAGAAATTCAAGCCTAATAGTATAATTCACTTAATTCCTAACATGTTGGCGAGTTTCCCCCCTTTTTTGTTTCCCTTTTTTTCCTCTTTTCCCTTTTTTTCCCTTCTTTTTCCTTTCTCTTTTTCTCTCTTCTTCTTCTCTGCACCGTTTTGTGTGTGTGTGTGTGTGATGTGTGTGTTGTGTGTTATGGATTTGGATTACATATATGTATATATAAATACATTGGGAATGGGTTGGTTTGATAGCTGCCTACTGTTTTGGTTTTATCTTTTGTCATTTTTTTTAATGTATTACAGTTGCATTGTATAAAGTAATCTAGGGGTACTATTAATTTGCAAATTACTTCAGGTTTGACAAATGTAATTTTTTTTTTATCTGTTATAAGATCATGTAAGTCTGAGTTTATAATTATCTCCATATATTAATTATAGCTAGTTCATTTTTGTACCCCTTTATACGATGGCCATCCTTTACAGTTTTTTTTTTTCAAAATCAAGTAAGAAATGGTTATATAAGATCAAGAAGAAAGAACAAGGTAGTTTTTGGAAAGAGATGCGCTGAATTCAATTAGTGTGTCATTTAAATTGTATCCATAATGAGTTCAATGAGATCTTACATTCAAACTTTCTTTTTCTTCTTCAATGATATTCAAAGTGGCCCTGTTGAACATACAAACATGGAATATTCTCTCATGTCTATGGATAAATGAGAAAAAGGAATGGCCATTTTCATTGTTAAAAGAGTACATGACCATCTAATGTACTATTTTATTTTTTATTTTTTATTTTTTTTCTCTAAATACAATCATGCATGTTTTGTTACACATAATTTAATTCATAATAAAAAATAAGCAATTTTCAAAAGTAACTATTATATTTTTCTACCAAATTTTAAAATTGGAAAATAGAGTATATATTGGGGGAATAGAAATAAATATAATCAAATTAGAATTGCATCAAACATGTAATATAAATATATCAAAAATAGTGGAAGTCATGCTTAGTCCCTTGTTAGTATTACTAGGGTAGAAAATGTGATGTGGGATGCACGTGATTTTATAACATCGTTGTTAATTACTTTCAAATTTAAAATTTTACAGCACACGATTTTCTAAATGGAGTGGAGTGCTTAATCGCGCATTCTTGAAATCCAATATCTATAATCTATTATGAAGAAATAATATTGAATAGTATGTTAGAAAATCATTTATATTCCACCATTTTAATTATATAACCTCCACATTAATGTTATTGATAGTTCTAATGAATGAGAAATTTGGAGTTGTAGATTTAAATATCTATGGAGTGGAGGTCTTGAATTAAAAACAACAGTTCTTTTTTTCTTTCGTAAAAATC